ACATCTTGGTTACTGCAGTGAGCACGTTTACTAGTTCAGAAAGAAATCTTGAGTTACTGACCTACATGGCTACTATGCCTGTGCTAGAAACTTGCTTTCTAAAGAAAATTTGAGTTTATACTGCATGGCATTCTGTGTAATTGTTGTAGATAAGAAAGAAACGGAGCTGGCAGAAAACCACAGGGTCAGTGCTGCAGTTAGTTATTGTTTGTTCTCTTCTGCCACATGGGCTGATAACGAGCGTCTCTGCCTTGTTTAGTCATATGCTTGATAGATTCATGTGGGAGTGTGTGTATCTGCTATCCTTGCTTGAATAGACTTCACTTATTTGTGGTTTTTTTTTTACTATTTTATGGTCTTTCTTTTTAGAAAGAGACATTAAGGAGGAAAGGTTAGGCAACTGAGGGGCTCCTAGGGCACAGGATGTGCGGCAGAATTCTCCACCCTTAATAAAAAGCTCTAATGTGGCTGTGAACTGCTTGTAACTATTCTCACACATTCTCATTTCAGAGATTGTGCATATGGTGGGGATGACAACTTTCTCTTCTGAACTTCACTGGAGTTTGGTAGCTGGGACTCTTGGGTCTTCTGCTGTTTCTGTCCATTTGTGAAGTGTTGTTAATACTTGGCTCTGTCGCAGGACTGTCATGAACACAGCAGGCTTGATTTGGCACTGAGAAAATGCAGAGAATCCTCTATGGTATTCTTGGAAACAGTATTGTTCTGGCAGCCTCCAAAATAGCCAAGTGCTTGTAAGACATTCCAAAATACCAGTGATGCTGGGGAGGGCAGGAGGGAGGGCAGCAGAACTGGAGAGTTGTGGAGCAAGTACTTTCCAAAGTTCAAATTGCTGCTGGCCTGTGTTGTGATGGCAAAACATGCAGCTGGTCCCTGTATCATGTATAGAAGACTCATCATGAACATGTTGTTGGTAAATGATGGACAGTAAGAAATTATGGGGGTTGACAGTGTTCTGATGCAGAAGGTTTGAACTAGCTGGGGTGGCCTGGCTCCTCCTAAGGTGTTCTGTGTGTGGCCTGGGACTTCAAAAGTCTTGGTAAAGAAGTAGGAATTGGTTGTTGGTGTAAGGTCAGGGCCTCCTGTAGTGAACAGGTCCCAACTGCTTCTGAGGAAGCTGTAAGAAACTAGACAGGGATCAGACGTGCAGTGTGTGCATTGGAAAGTTTCTTTTTACTACTGTTTCTCTTTCCTACTGCTCAGCAGGGAGAAGGCTTCTGTCTTCAAGCACAAGCCTGTAAAATGCTGCTTTTATTGTTTATTTTCAATGTGTGTGAATGGCAACATCTTGCATACTTGTGTTCATGTAGTCCTCTTGCACACAGGTATTTTCTTGCCTATATGTGCACACACTAAACCCTCTCCTCTGTTTCGCAGAAAGGAAAATAGGGAGATTTTGTGACCTTTTTATTTCTAAAGGATCTTTTTGGATTGCTAACATTGTCACAGAAGCAGTACTGGAGGGTCATGGTGTGTGAAGTGGCTAACAATGGGAAGAGCCTCATTCCAGGAGATGGCTGGAAAAATCTTCTAGCAGCCTCATTTTTTCTGAGGCTGTTTTCATAAAAAACATGGAGTGAATGTCTGGTTTCCCAAAAACCAGCTAGTGTGATGTGCCAGGAGGGAAAACTAAGATGGCTGGTGATAAAATGTGGTGCGAGGGGGAGGTGAACATTAACTTCCAAATGCGTGGACGCTCACACTTCTGTCGTGTCTGCTTTCAGCTGCATTGTGTCTGTGTATTTGAGAAGATAAACCAAGGAAAATTAATTGGGAAGAGAGAGCTCTTTCTTTGTGGCCTCAAGGAAATAGTTCCTAGAGATTTGACTCACTTTGGGTCTTCTGTTACTTTTGCAAAATTCTCATATTCTTACATCAGGTCATGAAGTTTGTGTTACCTGGTGAAGCTGCTGGAGGTCATGAAAGTGATTCCTCTTTGAGTGTTTAAAATCCTTTATGTGAATCCTGCAGGGGACTAATCTATGAGGAGCTGTTTCCTGCCTTTCCAGCCAGTGGTCTGATGTTTCTCAGCCCTCACACATGAACTTGCGTCTGAAAAGCCATTGCTGAGGCAAGGTGATGTGGCAGCTCTGTGGTCCAGGTTGCTAGATTGGTTATCAAGTAAATGTACTCAGAGAAAACAATCTTCTGATGACATCCAGGATCCTTCTTCGCATGCTGAGAGATGCTGTGAGCAAGGTGTGATGGTTGCACCTCTTTCTAGAGAAGAGACCTGATGCCTGTCTTGTTTTGCCGAGGTGGCATGACATCAGCTGGAGGAGTGGGAAATGCTGTTTCTCACTGGGTTTACCCTTGGACTGGGATTGAAGAACTGGGTTTTGCTATTGATTCTGCCCCTGATTTTTCTGGCTGACCCCACTGATGTCAGTTCCTCTCCCTGTAGATTAACTTCTGCTATTTAACTGTGCAGTTTGCTCTGGATAAATAGGTTATACCTGAGGTACATGTTAATAACTAGCTCTAGGAATAGAAGATTTGTTGACTCTGGGATGAACATGATAACCTTAAAATACAGCATAGCATGGTACAGACACTGAGGAGCTTGTAATTATTTGTGTCACGTTTGCTCTCTGACTGAGATGTTCTTAAGCCAAATTTTATTTCAACCAGCAAGTAAATCTTTTGTTTTCCTTCTTTGAAATGAGAAAAGTTGTTCATGCTTAGTATTACATTGTCATTGGGTTAAAAAGCAATCGGGAAACACAGGATTGTGTTGAGTACAGCAACATCAGTGTTTTAATTATGTGAAACTCAAACCATATTTTCTTGTATCTAATATACAAGCTGGAGGCACGAAAGCTATGAGTGTGACACTATTACTAAAGAGTGATAGCACCAGCCAGGGCTCTCAGATGACTGGTGTTTTGACTTTCTCATTCATGACATGCAGAAGGGAATGTTCAGTGGGGGGTTTATCTTTTCTTTTAAAACCATTTTCAAGCCTAGTGCTTACTGAGGACTAGGTTCCATTCGGGGTGTGTTCTCTCAGTCCAGCATTTGAGTCTCGGGTCTCCAGAGCTCTTATTCCTTTGGGTGGCTTTAATTTCTTTCCAGTTCTTTTCCCCACTGACACGTAGTGCTCCCATCGCTGCTGACTGGTACAGTTCCTGAGCAGGCCCTTATTGATGTTGCTTCTGGTCCTGTTTGCCTTCTGAGTAAATCTGTAGTCCTGAGGTACTATAAGGATAGCTTGACAGGACCCTTCTCTATTCTTTGCACCCATTTGCTTTTGTAATTGTCAAAGAAGAGATGGTGCCTTGAGGTTTATGACCCTGCCTGAGCCTTTCACAATGAATTACGGCCTTTTATCTACTCTGAGGGTCACGTTCTCTTTTTAATTGCACTGAAGTGACTTTCCACTACATTTGGTACATGCCATAATTTGCACTGTAAGACACAGCTTCCCCATAATTAAAAGGAACATGCAAGCTTGCCTGCCTCGAACATGGCATCAGGGTGCTCTCTCTCATTAAATCAACATAAATCTTTTGACGTGGCCTCATTGGTTCCCTGCTGCATTTTCTTCCACGAATAAAGAACAGAATGTGAAAAAACACTCTATTTGGATAATTCTCTTCACTGGTGCAAACTGGAGGGAAGTTTACAAGATATTACTCTGTTGTAACACGAATACAAGGGCTGCTGGGGGACCTGTATTCAGTGTCCTGTCCCTCCCTGACACCTGGAGTGTGTTGTACGGGAAACACAAACCTCTCTTAGCTTGTGAGGTGTCCTGTTTGACTGCCTACAACTTTGGATGCTCTTGCTGCTCTCAGGAGATCCAGAGATTTCTTCTCTTTGTTCACTTTGAGTTGTTCATTAAATAGTTCCCTAAAAATGCTTCAGTAGGAGGGTGGGTACCATATGGCCAGCTTTTAGCCTCCTGCTACATATTTTCCAGGTTGCTTCCTGTAGACCCAAGGGGTATCTGGAGGCCAGGTTGGGCATCGCCAGGCTGCGTTTTTTCTTGAGGCTTTTTAGACTTTTAATATCAATGATGTCTTTGATAAGGAGTTTTACAGACTCTGGCTGTTTTCTGTAGGGTGGGTTCAGTTGCAGTGTGTGGTTAAACCCAGCAGCTCTTGCTTTCTTTGGACAAGATTAACTCTTGACTTAATTCCCAATGAGTTTTGGTATTTATACCTGCATTCAGTTTTGTTCTGTGTGATAGCTAGAGGCAACATTTTTTCTTCATATATATGTAGAATTTGCTTGCTAACTCTGTGCTGCTACAAAAAATTTCCCTTTAGATCCTCTGAACTATTGGTACTACTCCTCATTAGTGTACTCTGTGCATCTCTGTCATTTGCTTTTGTCTATTGCTGTGTTTTTCATGTACCTAAGAAAGCCTTAAAATAGGACTTCTGGAATAGAAAAGGGCTTGTAAGAAGATTGCAGATTACTGTTGGTTTTCTAGTGGCTACCCTTTTCATTGCTGTGCTAATGTAGAGGCTTAATGAGCAGCTTTGACTCCAGGGCAAGGCTGAGTGCTGCTCTGAACAGCAGTTTCCATCTAGGTTTCCTTTGAAATGAAGCATTTGCTAATCTGCCAGCTTTTATTTTTGTTTATTTGTGCCTCCTGCATTCATCAGGGTAAAGGGTACAGTCACACAAAGGGCTGCCTGAAGACTTCTGGAGACCGAAAGTGATGCACTTGGAGCAGCTACTGAGACTTATTTTGGATATTAATGCCTAAATCTAGAAGTGACATGATCCCTCCACTCCCCTTTGACCTTCTCAACCAGAACCCACCACCCTGTCTCCTAAGGAGTGTCTCTTTTAGGATCTAGAGAATGTTTTCTAACAGGGCAACATACATGTTGGCGAGGATATGTGGCATTTGGAACATGGCATTCCCTGCGTGCTGGGCTTACCTGTTTGCCTCAGTGGGGTATTTGCATTGCTAACACCTTCCTAGAGAGTGCAGAGTTTCCACATCTCCTCTCCCCTTTCTCTTTCAGGCCCAGGCCTGTTTGCTTCTCCGGAATGTTCTGCTGCTTCGTGAACTGAAGCTCTTCATGACAGAGGAGGAGTGGGAGGAATTGATAAGAGAAAGCATCAGCCAAGTGACAAAGGTAACAAGCTTCAACATGTTAAATGTATAGATAGGAACTAATGGGTGCTGCTTTTACAAGTGGGGTGCTTGTTCAAAGAGCTGGATTCTGTAGCTGTGCTCAGCTTAACTGATCTTGGTGCCTGCTTGTACCAGGTCTGAGTAGTGTCCATCAGGATTACAGCATTCTTGTAATACTGCTGCTAGATGTATTTTCACCAAGTGCAAGAAATATTCTTGGTGCAGCTTAGTGGTCCCTGTGTGTGGATCTAGGAGGCAGAGCTCAAGTTTCAGGGAATACACTCATACAGATCAGTTTAAGGTGGTTTTAAATATAAATTTTGAATTAACAGGTATTATGGACATTTGCTTAATTTCAGAAAATGCTGTGGAAGTTCTATATTTGAAGGAACTTCAGGGCCAAAGAGATAGAGCTGAGGTGCTCTAGGCTTTTGACTCCTGGTGTGTTGGAGACTTTCTGGACTAGACTCCCTCACTGGTATTGTTTGTTAGGGAAACCTTAGAATACATTGGTACGGAAAAAAAACTGGGCTCCTGATTCAGTGGCAGATGCAGGTTGCACCTGAAGACAGTTTTTGGGTGCAGCCATTCTGTGGGAGGTGATTTGCAGGGCAGAAGACTGAAGGAGCAAATACCATTCAATTATATCCTCATTGATTGACATGTTGGGAACCAAGGAACCAAATTAATATTGTGGTGTGGTGACTAAATTTGATGACACAGGAGATTCCAGCCTTGGTGTTCCTATGTAACTGTAGTATTGAACTCTTCCTAAGTGTAGCTTGCATTCTTCTTTAAATGCTGCTTGCATGGTAATTTAGGCCATTCCATAATTTCCTCTGTCAGAACAAAACTATTAGCTCTGTTCTCTTTTGTCAAGGAGGCACAAAATCTAATCAAGTTTCAGTCAAGGAATTCAGAGGTGCTGTTAATGATTCTTGAGGAAGCAAGTGATCCTGGGTTTCATTAAATAGCTTTTGTTTAATGATTGCATCAGGAATCCAATGGGTGGAGTTAGGTATGATTTTCTTTTCCAGCTACATAAAATGTGCCGTTCCTCCCAACCCAGTCACCTCCATGTTTCTCTCTAGCAGCTGAATACCTGCAGGACCCGGTGATACACTGGGAAACCACAAACACAGTGCCTTCATGTTGATCTTGTCAGGGAAAGTTGAGCGTCTTGCAATCCAATCAGCATTTTAATGAGCTTTGCTACCAAAGCATCCTCCATGCCTCTCATTTCTGTGGTCATCTGTGTTTAATGAAAGATTCCTGAGAAATACTGTCAGTTTGTTTGGGCTCTCCAAGGTGTACCCCGTGGGTATACCCTGCTTGAGGAGGGTTTATTAGCTCTGGATCTCCAGGTGGAGATTGTGCGCTTGAGTGAAAGAGAAGCTGCAGGTTGGGTGGAAGTTACAGGCTTGACATTGAAATTACGGGGTATGTTTGGATTGTGTTAAGGCAGGAGCTTGGGCTCAATGATAGCCCTTTCTGTCCCTGATGTCCACGCATGCCTCTGCTTAGCTAGAGGGTAGGGAGGACATTTGTAGAACTGCAAGCTTCTCCTGCAGCTCAGTCTCGTCCGTGTTCATCTGAGACGTCGGTGGGCCGTTCTAGGTCAGCTGTGATTTGAGGTGGGTATGTAAAGCAGGCAGATGTTGGCATGTGAATGCTTACCCATGGGAACCAGGACTCTGAGCTGTAATTCATGATGCTGTGGAAAATGATGAAGTTTTATTGCCCCAGATGAAAGGTTTGCATTTTTTGTCATTGGCCATTTCCGCCACCATCCCTCACAAACAGCTGTTCTAAGAGTGGGAAAAAAAATATAATGGAGAACTTTATACCTTTCTTTGACCCAGGGAGAAGTCTGAAATAAGCTGTGAGGGCCAACTGTTTAACTGACTACACTGATGTGCACTTGCAACTCAAGCAGTGTTACTGTACACAAGGAAGCTGTCATCTGGAGGCTTTGCTACGCTGTGTCCTTGGTCAGATGTGCAGCTCTGGGTCTGGTGGTTCTTGGAGCACAGGATTTCTGTTGCAGGTGTAAGGCTGTGAGAGAGGATAGGATGCTGTCTCCTGGTGTCTTCCTTCTTATCCTTTCTTTCCTCAGTGATTGCATTGCATACCTGCAGATCACCTGGTGAGGAGCAGTGAGCCTGGGGTGGTTTTAGGCAGTGATATGTGCTGGAACTGGGTCTTGGATATCACTAAATGATGTGTGCAAGCCTAAGAGGCAGATGAGGGAGAATCAACCATCAGGAGCTTTCAGTAAAGAGACAGCTTCCTGAAATAGCAGCTCTGGCTGCTGCAAGGCAATGGCTTTTGTGCTTACATAAGCTAACTTGACCTTATTCGTTCCTAAAATGCTTAAGCATGCTTATAAAACATACATCACAGTCATGAGGGATTCATGTTTGCCATCTCCTTACTGTCAGCAAGGCAAGCCTTGATGTCCTAATGGAAGCTTTGGAGTTGACTTGTTCTTGTGAGAGTCCTGCTTGCTGTTGGTGCTCTTGGCTGCTTCTGCTGGATCAGTTGGACAGCAAGGCTTGTCCACAAGCTCTGGGACTGCAAAGTTGAGGAAGCAGAGAAAGCTCTGACACAGTTTGGGCCTCCCAAGTCCTAAGTAGTTACTTTACACAGAGCAGAACCTTGCTACAGTTGTTCAAGTTTCTTCTGATGTTGGGAGTCTAGATGACTGGGTTGTGTTTACAGTATAAAGAAAGAGTTGCTTCATGTTGTAAATGACACAGCTCACCTGAGATCCTACAGTTTCTGACAGAAACCTCTTCAAGACCTTTGTTCTTTTATCAGTAGGTCTCAAAGCGCTTTACAAAGGAAATGCAAACCAGCAAGTTGTTGATGTAATGAAGAAAGTATTTCACAGAAACCCAAGAGCTAAAGTATTTCGTTTACTAAAGTTGCTCACCCTGTTTTACAGATGACATGCTTGGCTGGGAACTGAGCCAGGAATCAAACTCCAGTCTCCCGAGACATGAGAGAGACCCCTTTGTACATGAATAATCTTTAAGCTTCTTAACTTGGCTTCAGGACAGCCCAGCATGTTGGATAGGAAACTCTGTCCCTGTGTTATCTAAGGAGGATGCTGGTAGTTGTGAGTTCGGGCTGCTTGGAGTCATGCAGTGATGATAATGGCAGAACCTGAGAGGCCCAAGTTCCCCATTTCACGCAGGGAACTGCTGCCCTGTTTTGGGGAGGGATCTCTGTGAGGTTGCTGCTAGGGCTCCACACTCTTTCTGGCTCTATCAAGTGCATCAGTTTGGTCTTTCAGCACTCCCAGTTGGCACTGCGGGCACCTCTTGGTGTTTGTTCCCTCTGTTAGATGTATTTCCTTTTTCTTTCTGATATGTTACAGAATTGCTGTCTTGGCTTTAGAGTGATCTCGAACCTGTGCCAGTTTTGTAGTCACTCACTGACAGATTTGTGGCAGGAAGCACAGGATCTGAATACGTAGTTTTGTTACCTTTTTTGTCATCCCTTTCCCAGGAACAGGCTTGCCCTCCTGAACTGAGGTGCTTCGTTTAACTCCCAGTTTAAGCATAAACTCCTGGTTATGGTGTGAAAGTCAGGGGGAAATGGGAAAGGATTTTGACAAATATTCCAGAAAATGGCTATTTTCATGGCTTGGTAACTCCAAAACAAAACAGCCCTCAGAAAACTTGGTAAAACTGCTCTCTGTGGCTTGTATAGCAGTTTCCTGAGGGTTTCCTTTGTCTCTTCTGCAGTGAGTACATCATAGGAAGGGCTGAACTTTACTGCTCTTTTTTCCCTTTGCTTGTTTTGTCAGTGTCATAAGAGATTGGCAGAGCAGATGACATTCAGGTTGGCTGTTTGAAACCAAAATGGGATCAAGGCATCCTGGAATGTAGAAGTGTTCACAGACTCTGATACCCAAGTTCAGTGCAAGACCAAAGGCTTCTGGTCACCAGTGTTGGAGACCTTGGGATGAATATACACATTATCCTAATGACACATGTGATGCCTCCTTCCACTTAGGTGGTTGCTTGGACAGGGCAGGCAGCCGAAGGCAGGTATGAATGTAGACAGACAAAGGATTACATGGCCTGTGCAGGGGATGGTACAGATAACCCAAGCCCTCTTTTCCAAGACTCGTGTGTAAGTTATTGTATGAAGACTTTTATTGTATGGCATTAGAGGGTTTTGTTGCTATTGTGGTGTTCAGTTAATGATTTAAAATAACTATCTGGAGCCACTCAGAATGTGCGAGGGGGGAGGGATGGATATAGTACATAACCTTCCAGTGCAGACATGCCCTTCATTTCTGGAGGGCATCGCATTTGATTATCAGTGTCTTAATTTGTAGGGAGATAAATTATTAACAGTGACTTCATCAAACCTCTAAAAAAGCCATTCTTCAACTTTTTTCATGAAGATTGCCTGAACTTTTATCTGTCCATCTTTATAAATTCTTAATTCATTGCCCTTTCTCAGCCTCTTAGCTTGTAAAATGAGGCCAGTAGTGATTTAACTGATATCTTTGACGTGCTTTCAGAATACTGGATGTCTCTGTGGAGAATTCATTTCTCCACTGTCCCCTCAGCTGTCCTGGGTGGTTTTTCCCTGCTGCATTTTTGTATGGTCTATGGAGGAAAACAAAAATCAAATCTTTAAACTTGGGAAAGCATTGACATTTTCTGTGAGAATAGCTTCTGGATTGTGGGCTCCTCCCTCTAATAACAGCCAAAATAAACACTGCAAGAAATGCCCTTTAGTTATACCCTTCAGTACGGGGGTTTGCTTTGTCCTCTGCCTTCCCTCTCTCTGTTGGTCATGGACAAGCAGAAACTTGGTGGTTACCTTCCCTTTGTGAGCATTTCTTGGTGATTTGCTTCTGTTAGAGATGCAAGGAGAAAAGTTGGTAAACATTTAAACTATGTCTTCAGAAACTTGGTGAGAGAGAACGAAGGGAGGAGGGACTGTCAGTGCTTTTATTCCCTCTTTAAGTGCTCTCAG